ACTTCGTCTTCTTTAGCCAATCGAATACCCATTATCAAATGTAATGGTAGAAGAATTCCAGCTGTACAAGCAGCAGCAAATCCTAATATAATCAATCATAAATCAAAACTATTCTTCTTTTTATTATTATTTACTCACCAATTGCAGTTAGAATTCCTGCAATCTGATACCACAGCTGAACTGGTCGTCCATAGAATGCACCATCTGCTCCACTAATTTCATTGACCCACTTTTGTGAAAATAATCCAGTCATAAATGCACCTGATATACCTCCTATGAATAAATAAATTTTCGTTCATATTTATATATTAAAAAAAGAAAATATCACTGAATTTATCCTACCACAACCATGTATAAGAGCAACATCTAATGTATCATCAAAACGCATAAATCTTTTGAGTAAAAGAAGACTATGAACAATACATGTTGTAATTATAGCAATTAATATTGCCCATCCAGGTTGAACAAAACCGCATGCGGGTGTTATGCCTACCAGACCAGCGATAGGACCAATACAAGCACCTGAAATTGAGATGTGACCACGAATAGCATCAATAACTACCCATGTAATGAGTCCTGCAGCAGCTGCTGCATGTGTATTAATTAATGCAAGTGAAGCAAGACCACTAAAATAAATACAAATAAAAACAGAGAGTAGTGTTATAATGTAATATTTTTTGTTACCTTGCTGCATTAGCTGAACCAGCATTGAAACCAGTCCATCCAACCCATAAGAGACAAGTACCCAAAATAGTAAATGGAAGATTATGAGCTGGGGTACCACGTGGATCATAATCATGTCGTTTACCAAGAATAATTGATGCAACAAGACCAGAAACACCAGAAAGTATATGAACAACTGTTCCACCAGCAAAGTCAAGTGTACCTAAATGTTTCAACCATCCATTATCACCCCATACCCAATGAGCCATCGGATCATAACAAACAGTTGACCAAATAAAAATAAATATCATATATGGAATAATTTTCATTCGACCAACGATCGCACCTGAAATAAGAGCAGGTGTGATGACTGCAAATGTACCTTGATAAGCACAATATGTTAGAAGAGGATAAGTTGGACTATAATTTGGATTATATAATTCACCAAATCGAAGAACAGCCCAGTCAAATGATCCAAAGCCAGGACTAACAGGTGGTCCGAAAGCAAATGAGAATCCAAAGAGAACCCATTGAACAAATACAAT